AGCGAGCAGGAAGGGCTGGGAGAACAGGACCAGGAAAATGCTATAGGCTGTATACAGAGCGTGCTTATCGAGATGAAATGCTAACCACCAACGTGCCTGAAATCCAGAGAACAAATTTGGCCAGTACAGTACTTTCCCTGAAGGTTGGTATTTCACCAGCTTGTAGCAAGCCAATGTGATCATAAGCATTTCAAGAAACAAGTGTCTGCCTCACTGTTCAGTGGTGTTGTGGCTGTGGCTGGAGTTTGGTGTCTTCCTTCTTGGTGTTTTAACTTGGGTTTTCTTCACTCCCTCTGCTCAGGCCATGGGAATCAATGATTTGCTCTCCTTTGACTTTATGGATGCTCCCCCAATGGAAACTCTCATAACTGCCATGGAGCAGCTGTACACCCTGGGAGCTCTGGACGATGAGGGACTGCTCACTCGACTTGGGCGCAGGGTACGCAAAAAAGAATACTTCTTAGCACTGTCAGGGTTGTAAATATTCAGGGGGTGACATGAGAGTAGTTGTCTAAGGACTTGCCTAGCACTATTGATTTCCTTTTGCTATTATTCTCTTGTGTTTTTTGGGTAGTTTTTTACTTACCAATAGTTAATGTACCTTTTGCTGTTTAAGGAGCAGCTGTTGTATCTCCTTATTCATAGGATTACTTTTATTAATGTCTAAAAATTTACTATAAGTATTGGGATATTCTTGGGATAGTGAATATAGAGAAATAATTTGCTTCATATTGAGTAAAGCTGTTCTGGGTAAAGCACACTGCTTTGGAAAGGAAGCATGGAAGAAAGGGCCAGTGCTCTCTGTTGCACTGAGGGAACTCAAGGTTTTTGTGAGATATTGCAGGGTATCTTGAAACAGGTTTCTTGCAGATGGCAGAATTCCCCTTGGAGCCTATGCTGTGTAAGATGCTGATCATGTCTGTACATCTGGGATGCAGCGAAGAGATGTTGACAATAGTCTCCATGCTGTCTGTACAGAACGTGTTCTACCGGCCAAAGGTAAGGAACCAGCAGTGTTACTGTTTGCGTGGGTTTTCTGTGCCTGCTTCAGAGTGAGCATATTTGACACAATAAATCTGTAGCTTTGTTAGACTATTTGCTCATTTGTTACATTTCCAGTGTACCTTTTGGTTAAACATCATGTAGCTGTGGATGCCAGTAGTTTCTTTACAGATGGGAAGATGGAAGTTGGAAATCTCATATTCTCTTTTGTGTTTCCCACTAAACACGTACAGCCTTAAACCAACCTTACACCTTAAACCAACTGGAGCTCTGGAGTTCAAAATGCTCTGGTAATTTTCAGATTTCAGAATACACTTTTATCATGGCTGTCCTACCCTATGCTGATTTCTTTTAAGTCAGCAAGCAGCAGCCTGTGCTGTGGTAGGATGTCTCAGTAGCAGACTCTTCTTGAATCCATTATTTCTTCATTATGATGAACTGCTGCAGTTGAGTCTAACTTCTATTTTGGTCTGGGTAGCCACAGTGTTTGATGAATGTTTTATCTGCACACTGGAGAAGTGGGGAGAGGTGGGTAGGTGAGCAGGGTCAGAGCTGCTGCTTCAGCTCCTTTGATGATGAGTAATTGAGGTTGTTTTTAGAGTGGGAAAAAAATAGCTCGTTCAGTGCATGCATAGACTTCCTACTGTATGCATGAACCACTTAGGTCCTTCACCTCTTCTGATTGCTCCCTTGTCACCCATGGGAAAGACTTTAGGAAAGTCTACTGGGGTCTGTCTTTGGCAAGAACAGTTCTGGGCTTTCCTTTCATACAGACATGGTTTTGGCCTAGTGAGAGCCAGTGACCTTCAGATTCTCATCTCTTTGGTGCTTAGCCACTCACCACTCCAAATTTTGTGTTGTCAGTCTTACATCACCTGTTTCTTGGTAGACTTGAAAAGTCAGGGTAGGAGGGACAGGGAGCTCATGTCCTTCATGTTGCACGGGGATTGTGTTGATTCTGATTGATGATGATTTTATATATTAGGATAAACAAGCACTTGCTGATCAAAAGAAAGCCAAGTTCCATCAGACAGAAGGTGACCACCTCACTCTACTGGCTGTCTACAATTCCTGGAAGAACAATAAGTTTTCCAATCCCTGGTGCTATGAAAACTTTATCCAGGCCCGATCCTTACGCAGAGCCCAGGACATCCGCAAGCAGATGCTGGGCATTATGGACAGGTGAGCATGGCAAGAAGCACAAGACTTTGCTTTCTTGATGGTTAGACCTGAACAACTCTAATTTTCTTTCTAATTCTTGTCTGGCAGGCACAAGCTGGATGTGGTATCCTGTGGCAAGGCAACAGTTCGGGTCCAGAAAGCTATCTGTAGTGGCTTCTTCCGAAATGCAGCAAAGAAGGATCCCCAGGAAGGCTATCGGACACTAATTGATCAACAAGTAGTCTATATCCACCCATCCAGTGCTCTCTTCAACAGGCAGCCAGAATGGTAAGGAAGGCAATATGTCATTTTCTGTTTCAGTTCAGACTTTGTAAGTTAAAAGCTTGTGGTGTGCACTACTTGTAGGGTACATATCAAAGTATAGGGTGTTGCATTCTAGCTCTTTCTGCAGTTAAAATTAGTGCCTGTGCAGAGGTGAGATAGACTTTTTGAGCCAAGGACAGGCCTGAAGCCAGCAGTTCTGTGTATTTGTATTGTGGAAGTGAGTTTAAAACACTGAGTGTTAGGGACGGGGTAGAGAGGAAGATCGTTTTAAATGGAATGAAGTAGCTCTGTACTGAAGAGCAGTTGTGAACTAGGAGAGGAAAAAGAAGATAGTTCTTCCAGAGTGTTCTTCTGAAGCATAAGGAGCCTTATGCTGAAGGAGGGTGAAGGGGAGATAAAGGGGCGAGCTTAGATACTCCAGCCTTTGCCTTTTCTCTTGTTTGGAAAAACTGAGTTCCAAAGTTGCTGTCCCTATTTACAGGGTGGTGTATCATGAACTGGTGCTGACCACCAAGGAGTATATGCGTGAAGTGACAACTATTGATCCTCGCTGGCTGGTGGAGTTTGCACCAGCTTTCTTCAAGGTTTCTGATCCAACCAAGCTGAGCAAGCAGAAAAAGCAGCAGCGACTGGAACCCCTCTACAACCGCTACGAGGAGCCCAATGCCTGGAGGATATCGCGTGCATTCAGGCGGCGATGAGCCTGCTTCCCTCAGGAACTCTCACTGTGACTTCTGTACTGTTGCAAAGAGTCCTTTCAGGACTCAACCTTCGGTTGAAGCTTCATTCCAACATAAACAGGAAATAAGCCTTTTCAGAACAAAAGCACAAGGGGGCGATGTGTGTTAATGTCAGCTGCCCTTCGGGTTCCACAGCTGCATGGCAAATGGCCTGGGTCTTCTCAGTGTTCTGAAATGCTTCTTGAACCATTGTTCCTTAATCATTCTCCTTTTAAGAGAGAAAACCCCAAGACTCGTAGTCTGGGCGCTGAGCTGAGCAACAGCAAAAGGATAATGAGTAGAAAACAGTTGTTCTCCAGCCTGTGTTCTGAATGAGCAGAAAAATGTGGGCTGGAATAGTTTATTTCTTTATCCTGCACAAAGGGATTTATTTCTACTCACACTCTTGTACAGTGGCTGGTTTGGAGGAGCTGCTTGGTCTCCTTTTTTCCTATTTTATGCATTTTCCTGTTCACTGTAACTGTCTCTTATGCAATCCATCTGTGGTGAGATATTTAGTATCTGTGGCTTTGGGATAAGGCAGAAACGATCCCTTGAAACCCAGCTAGGATGTCAGTCCTACTTGGCCAATGGCACAGGTCAGACTGCAGCTCTTATCCTTCATCACCATCTTCTGTGTGCTGAAGGCTGATGTACTGAGCAGTAATTAACCACATCCACTCTGCAGCACGGCTCTGTCTGAGCATAAGTGCTTACAGATGTCTCGCCTTTCTCCACAATGCGTCATGTGTTTTATTTCCACTTGCAGTGCTCGGTGACTTCACAGCTGTTGGGTTTTGACTAGAATGTGCTCTTACAGCTCACATGTCTATGAAACATTGCATAAGAGTTCCGTGGTTAAAAAGGAGTAGACTGTCCAGTGTGTGCTGCGGCTGCTGAAGCATCTGTGAATTACTGTTCCTGATGCAAACAGATAAAACTTAACCTGATGTCAAAGCTGCAGATTTGACCCCATCTTTCTTTTTCTCCTTTTCTTTCTAAAGCTGGGACATTTGCTAAAATCATTGTTGAGTAGATTCTACGCTCTGTGGGTTGGAGAATGTTTCACATTGACAAATAGTTCAGTTGGAAACCTGTGTACAAAGGTGGGCAGGGATGTTGTATATACTGGTTTATTATGTTGTATAAATGCCCTGAGCTTTTTCATGCTTTTAGATCGTCATAAAGTTAAGCAGAACTAGAAGGTCATTCTGCTTGGGGAGGCGTGGATCTGAATGGATCAGTCTCTATGGCCGATGTCCACACATCAGCTGGTTGTCACAAGCACCACATTCCCAGCAGAATACCTCACATGTTCCCATGTAGATGCACACGTCAAAACCCAACTGTTTGCTCTTAATACAAGAAGGAGAAGGACTTGTGATGGTGCTGCCCTTGCTCCTGGCTCTAGGACTGTTCCTCTGCCACCAGGTACACCAGAAGGTGCCAGTGTTCTGTTGTGATCATTCAGTCCTGGCTGTAGGACTGCTTGTGTTTGATTCTTGAACTCCACCATGGTTCAGAAGTACCCAGGCATCCCTGAGCTTTCTGCCTGGGCTACCCAAAGCTGCTGAGGAGCCAAGCAAAGCAAGCTCACAAGGCAAGGGAGGACCAGGCAGGGGCTGAATGAAGTTGCACTTGGCCAAAGACATAAACCAATTTATTAATTACAGCATTTTTTACACTCATAAATAGTAAAGGCAGCTTATACCAATGGCAGGGTTCCCCTTCACCCTCGCTTCTGGGACACCAGAGGAAGTGCTCAGCAGGGCAGGCGGGATGGGAGGTGCCAGAATACCAAGTCTCTGGATTGCAGAGGGCACGTATGGCATTGGTGTAGAAGGCTGCTTTGAGTCCCTGGCCTCAGAGGCGGAGTGAGCTGCTTTTCCTGGCCCTTATACCCAGGGACAAGGCTGGGAGGGTTGGCATTAGCCATGCAGGGGGAGAGGCTGAGGGGGAAATGAGGCTTTCAATCAATATACAGGATTCTGCTACAGGCTGCCACAGTGGGAGGATTGGTAACGCAGTCCTGGCCAGTGCCTCCAGCTGCCCTGCTCAGACAGCCCGGGCATTAAGTGTTGTGAGCAAGGGGGTGACAAGGCAGGACTATGCACATACAGGGCAGTGTTCCCCATCCCCACAAAGCAGGTCACAGGGAAGGTGTATGATCTGCGACTGCTGTGTTGCACCCATCCTGGGAAGAAGGCAGGCCTGGCCTTGCAGAGGTGAGTCCATGTGGGTCAGAGACAGCCCTTACTGAGGACAGGTTATACAGAGGTGCAGTGCATGTAGGGGAGGAATGGAGTCAGCAGCAGCACTGTAGCATCCTTGTGTCTGTAAGAGAGCCCTGTGGGATGGCAGCTCTGCTGCTCAGACATCTGCTTCACTGAGACTGAGCCCCATCCTGACCAATATGAGGGTCTTGCCACAAACGCACAAGAGCCCTGTCAGGTGCTTACCCATATGTGTACCTGAAAGCTTTTCCTGACCAAAGCAGGTATCCATAGTTTAGTGCCACCCCAGGCTGGCCTGGAAAACTGCTTACACTGATTGAACACTATCCAGACTTGTACTGTACACAAGCAAGGGTGGCAGCGGGTGCTCCCAGCAGTGCTAGTACGGGTAGCCCTTGCTGTAAAGCTGTGCAGGGAGGCTCCCAAGCTCTGGCAGGTAAGCGGCATTCTCATCCAGGTGTGACAGAGGCACCGTGTCCTCCTCGCTGACCTGCCGCTCCAGCTCTGCCTTCAGCGCTGGCCTCTGGTTATCGGGGAAGGCCAGAGAGAACAAGGCTTCGGGTTCACACACGAACTTGTACACGTAGCGCTCCCCGGCCACCTGCAGGGGAGAAGGGATGGATGCTGCAGGCGCACAGGCAGCACCACGCAGTGCTCCTCGGCAGCAGGGAGGTTTGCAAGCCCTCTGCCTGCTCCAGCACAGCGCCCTGGGACCTGTCAGAGTTTTAAACTACCCCTGGTGCTGTCCTGCTGCTGCTCTGGGCTCCCCTGACACAGCCCTTGGGCACTGGGATGCTGCCAGCTGACTGTCCAGGTAGCAACAGCATCCACACAGCCTGGCTGGACTGTACTGGACATGATTACACTCACAGCTATCCTCTCCAGTGCTCTGGATCTGGAAGGCACTAACCCCAAGCAGCACTTAGCTCACCAGCTGCAAGTCTACACTGATTATCCGTCCTTGCAGCTGCATAAATGCCAACTCTCCTAATGGCAGCCGTGTACAGAAGAAGAAAGACAGACTTCCTATCTCAAACATGAAAAGCATCATTAAAGGTATAAAACCCACATCTGTTTGCAAACTGACCTTCTGCATGATGCCTTTCTCATAGTAGTAGCGAAGGGATCGGCTCAGCTTGTCATAGTTCATGGCTGGACGGTTCTTTTGGATACCCCACAGCCTGGCTACCTGTAGAATAAAGCAACCAAGTGCATGAATGTCCATGAACACAACCCAAGGGCAAAAGAACATTATCCAGCAGCTTCTCTTGTGAGGGATGGTAGCACAACACATACAAGCACACAGTAATAGATTCAAACTAATTACTTAGCAGCTTTTCAACAAGAAGGGTAGAACTCAAACTGAAGAACCCTGTATGATGCAAATCCTTCTCCTTCCCACTACAGAGCTCAATTGTCTGTCAGCACCTGACTCGCTGCAGGGCCTGGCAAGTACCACTGGTAGGCAGGAGCCTTCCCAGGGCAGAGGAAAAGGCAGGTGGGAGCTTCCAGCCTCAGGAGCAGTGGCTGCTTCCCCTGAGCCTGTAGAGAAGCTAACTGGTTTGATGGTTTCACCTCTTCTGGCTCAATGAGCTTGAACTCCATCCCTCTACCAGTCCAGGCAATGAAGTGGGAATTGGTTGGATCATCTAATAAAGCCACAAGGAATTGCCAGAGCTGGAGAGATCCCCGTCGCTGGTATGGGGGCCCTTCCCGGTACCCTCCAGCTTCCTGCTTGATGTCTCCTGCGGAGAGAACGAAGCGGGTGTTGCTCAGGTAACGCTGCAAGGGCAGTTACCAAACACAAAGCACGTTTCACAGCTGTTTGCCTGGAGTATTCCAGTTCAAGCACAGCAGAGCAGCCGATTCACCAGCAGTGAGGAGCTCTGGAGGACTCACAATGAAGCTACTTATGGTAAAAGGCCTCTTTGCTGTTAAAAGAGCTCAAGAAATGCGATCTCCAAAGGCAGGTCAGAACCCCAGCTACCACCCCTGCAGGAGCACAGTGTACCCAGCCATGCAGGCAGCGGGTAAGCGGTTGGCAGGGATGCTGGATAACCCCATCTGCCACCCAAACTCTGAGCCATTCTTTCCCAACCTTCAAATTTTTCGGGAACAACGCAGACATCATCAGGGAAGGACCTCATCTGCTTGTCATAGCTGCAGCCTGAAAGAGGAAGCAACGGAGGCAGTTGTAGAGGTAGTACAGAGGGCAATGCAATGCAGGGGAAAGACAACAGTCACTGCGGTTCTTACCTAAAGGATCTTCTGTATTTGGATGGCTGGGGTAACTCTCCACATTTATGTACATGGAAGGACAGCCAGGAACATCTACAGAGCAAGTAATAAACTTGTTTCATTAAGAAGCACAGGAGCAGAAGGAGCTTGATCTCCAGAGGCGGGCAGGTAAGTGCTGCTTTCTAACCAACCTAAGGCCCTCCTAGAAGGGTAGCGGCAGACTGAGAACGTTTCATGTCTCAGCCATCCCACCACAACGTCGTCTTCACCACGCTTCCAAGCATGAATCCCAGGTGTATGTTTCTGTAGTGCTATCCCATGACATCCTTCAGAGGAGCCAGGATCAGTCACCCATGCACCGCTCCATCCAAAACCTTGGACAACAGGCTAAGTTTCTATGACACTTCTCCCTTATCTGAGTTTAAGATAACCACGCTCTGCTGATGTTTCCAAGGTAAGAAGGCAGTACCTTTCCCCAGGAGTACTATGATCATGTTAATGGAGAGTAGCAGCATCCCTTTGCTTTCTTGGTGGTCTTACGTTGTAGTAGACCTGAATGTAGCAGCATCTGAATGCTTCCTACAGCCACAACTGTGACTGCAGATGTCTCCCTGTCTCTTTTCACATCATATGCTCACAAACAGCTCAGAAAACAGAAAGGAAAGAATAGGCTGAGTTTGAGAACAAGCAGCAAGTCTTCTCATGGTCTTTGTGCCGGAGCCTGAGCACTGCAGGGCCTGTCTTCTGCATCTTGTGTTTTCTGAATCTTGGCTTTCTGTTTCAAACGTGGTTTTCATTCCCACCTGAACCATGAGCTGTAACTGGGAGCTTTGGAAATATTTACCTTCCATTTCCTTTGGACTCCTGTGTACAGCTAGTGCTTGCAGCAGACATTTTGCTGATGCTAAGGGCAACGGCTACTCTGGGCTGAGCCTGGGTGTTATTACAATCATAAACTACTCTCCCAAACAGCATTCTTCTGGGTTTGCACATTTGCTTGCCCTGTCTGGACAGAAAGACCCAGGGAACATGCAATATCAGCATAGCCACAGTGGTGAACTCCTCGCCCTCATAGGAGCTTTTGATTTATCTATTCAGTTCTGCTAAAGAAAACAGGTCACAGTGTCCATTAAAACACCAGGAGACCACAAGTAACATTCCCTCTGGAAGAGGGTGCTGTGATGTCAGGGTCTGATGGACAGGTCTGCTGAAATAAGACTTATCCCTTGTGGAAAGATAAGAGGATCACCTGATCCTCTTAGAGGTGTCTTAGAGAGAGGTTTCCAGAATTATAACCCTTTTCTCTTGTGCTCAGCCTGTCCCCCAGACCACACCATGCCTGAGGATGCTGGAGTAGCGTTTCAAAGCCATCAGTGATGGATGTTCACCCAGGGGGTTGCTCACCCCCGCTGATGCCAGGTTTATGCAGCCAGAAAGAGCCAGTTCTTCCTACCTGAGTCGTACACGTAGTCAGCCTGCTCCTGCTTGATCACCAGAGCTGCTGGGTACTGGCGGCTGCTGCCCCTCTGGCTGCCTTGCTCATACCGCAGGTCCTGGTACTCCCGTTTGAGGCCCTGATGAGGGTATGGGAGGCAGGGCTCAGACATCTGGCGCTGGTAGGCAATAGGGTCTTCCTGGGCTATGCCCTGGGAGGAGGGGAAGGAACGGCACATCTCCACAGGTGGCTGGTACACAGAGCTAGAAGAGGGGAGAGGACATGGGCTGGCTGCTTGCTTGGCCCCGCTGATCTTGGCCCCGGGGCAGGGCTGGTTGAGGGACAGAAACTCAGCCTCAGCCTGTTACAAGGGCTCCAGGAGCTGCACGTGTGGCTGGGGCAATGAAGGGACCCTCATGAAGGATGTTTGCAATGGCAGCTACAGAGCCCATCACCTGCAGAACCTGCCAGGCTTACGCTTACATTCTACAAGCCCTAGGCAGCACTGATGGGTCCCAGGTACTTTGGATGGGGGGGATCCCGTGATGGCTGAGCGCTGAGCGCTTTAATCGGGGTGCTGCAGCCCGTCCTCCCTCAGCCACTGAGGTGGAGCCCCTTCTTCCCAGTGGCTGCCTCCTCCTGGCAGTAGCTCACCTGGTTTCGTTGGGGTATCCACAGCTGGATGTGGGATGCGGTGGCCCCGCAGGGGTGAGGAAGCTTCTGTCCTGTCTAGGGAACTGTTGAAATGGTGACTGGAGCGGGGTTCCTGGGTTGGGGGACTTGATTCTGACTTGTCTGGGTTGATCATAGGCACTGGGGATAAACAGATACTGGAGCATTACAGTTCTCAGGCAGACACACTGCCCCTCTGTGCTGCCACCCAGGCCAACCCGCCCCCCCCACCCCGCAGCATAAACTCCTTCCTTTCTGATCACTGATTGCCCCATGCACGATAGCAATAACCCTTCAAAGAGAACACTGGATGTGTCTGTGCTGAAGAACCCATATTAGAACTTGGGCAAGCAGCTGGGACTGTGGGCAATGGTGGCAGGGAGCTCTGTGTGGGACAGAGTCTGGAAGGCAGTGGGGAGAGAAAGGCACATGATGGATGCTCTCAGCATCACAGTAGCTGAGGAACAGCACCAGGGAAGAGAAAAAAGAGGTGAGCCCAGATCTACCCTAAGCAGGTCTGCACTATCCAGTGCAATACATAGAAGTATGAGCAGGCTGCCATGAGCTGACCCACTGCAGCACGTGTGCACTGCCCTTACCCAGCAGACAGACCAGATTGCTGTCATAACACCTCTTTATTAGATGATGCAGTAGTGCTTGAGTTCAGAGCAGCTCCTGCCACCTCGCCTGTGTAAGCTGTGTTACCTGGTGTAAAGGCACTGCTCGCCATTGTGGTACTGGAATGGCTGCTTATGGGTGCAGGACAGCGCGGGGTCCGAGGAGGGACTCTGCGGCTCCTGTTTAATCTTAGCAGGAGGACTGTGAAAAGCTACTGTAGGAGAGAAATGAGAGACCAGGTTGAGACTTTGCTTGGGTATAGAGAGAGAGATGCTTACATTTATATCTATCAGCCAAGAAAAAGCCAGTTGAGATTCCACCACCTTGTGCTTGTTCAGGTGGCTCAGAGGAACAACAATAGGCACAAGTGATTGCTGGATGCACCTGAGCTCTGCCCTCAGTTTAGGAGGATTTGCGTGATACACCAACCTTACAAGAGCACATCTAAGGTAGTATTAACGTGCTCTGTGATCATCCAAGAAAGGATTTGAAGTGGGTATTTCCTAAGCTGCACAGGCTGGGATAGTTTGCACATACTCTCAGTTTTAACCACATAAAAGCCAAGTTTTGCTTTGCATCAAGCCCAATGCTCTTTCACTGGCATCCCTGGTGAGCATGTCTTGGGAGTAGCATCACCACATAGCATTCAATGAGAATGCACTAGTATGATGTGCTGATAGTTTTGTTTGTCCAGTAGACAATAAATGTCAGGGGTTTGTAGACACAGCTAAAAACCTGAATGTTTTCTGAGCAAAAATAAATACTATTGCTTGTATTGCATCCTACTGCAATACAAGTGAAACCCAGAAGCCTGACTTCCATGTGCTTGCTTTCACTGTGATATCCGTCAAAGGTGGAAGAGCAGCTTCCAGCCCTCTCAGTACTGAATGTCATCAGTTGTACCAGGTTAGTACTGGTGCTTCCTGGGCAGGAGGCTGCCAACGGGCACTTTGCAGATACCCGTGTCATTTCCTAATACAGGTTTCCTTGTGTTAAACCTCTTCTATGCTGACAGTCCAATAGCCCTGAATGTGGGACTGGGGGAATCCCTGAACTGCTCTGCTCAGCCAAAACACCAGGGACAACCCAGGCACAAAGGAAAAGGGTTTCTTTGCATTTCCAGCCCAGTGGCTCATGCTTGTGGCCTAATGCAGACAAGAAGGGATCTTCGGGCTGGTTAGGATTTCATGAGTAACAAATGCGGGTTGCAGTTTACAGCACCAGGAAATAGGATGTGGGTATTATGTTCCTTTTTATGCTTGATTAAATCCAGCAGGGAGCAAAACTGCCTTCACGAGTTCCTCAGAAAAGCTGATCCCGGTGGAAGGACACGGGCAAGCATCTTCTGCCTTTGCCCCTGAACGCTGCTGATGCTGTCAGGAGCTCACTGGCACTTAGGAAGGGGAGAAAAGTGACCCCAGGAAGGTACCTGGGTCTAGGCTGGTTTTTCAAACAAGGGAAAGATCTCCCTGCCCATCTGTGAACCTTCCATAAGCTACAGTCCTTCCCCATGAGCTCCCTCCCACCTCTTCGAGCCGACGCGATGCTGCTGGCAGAGCCTGGGATGTTCAGAGCTTGAGGATCGTTGTCAGGATGGGAAGAAACAGCCCGACCTCATCTTTTCACTGTGTTTGTTTCAGGACTGACCTGAGCTCCGTGGGCACCAGCCAGCCTCAAGCCAGCCCTCCCTCACACAAAGAACACATTGTCCCTTCTGAAGTGCTGCAGCAAGTGGCTATCGGGAAGCCTGGAGGGATGGCTGCTGTCTCTAAGCACAGGGGATTAAGGCCACTTTCTATTGCAGACACCCCTCTCCAGAATTAACATTCTCAGCAAGAGAGCAAAACCAACCCCAACCTGACTTCTTTTGCCTGCTTTGCTTTCAGCCTGTGCCTGAATAGCCCATCCTTACACCCCGCCAGCATCCAAAGGGATCCAGCCAGCTTGACAGGAGCAATAGGAACAAATGAACTCATAAGATACTGGTGCCTCAGATTGTTTGTGGCAGCTTCTGAGGGACAAGAGGCTCCCACGGCCGCTCCCAGGGCTGCCATCAAACATCAATCCTGGCACAAAGAGCCCTTGGCACTGCCCAAGCTGCTGCAGGTGAGTGCTGCCCTGGGCTGGATTCTGTACCCCAGACATGACCCCCCTGCATTGGTGCAAACACCCCAGGCCCAGGCAAGGATCCAAAGAGAAAAGGGTCTTTCTATGCCTGCGGCATCCATTCCCTTCCTGTCTGCAGCAGCTCTTTCCAATGGATGGCGTAAGCAGATGTATAGAACCCATCTAAAAGTGCTGATGTGTCAGCTGAGCCTGATGGGGGGGGAAGGAAGGGTGGACAAAACCAACCCGCTTTGCCCAGTACACTGCACTCCATTGAAGTGCCAAGAAGCTGGCTGTGCTAGGAGCAGCCAATTCTTTCTGGCCCCTGTTAGCTGGAACAGGCTATTGCGTTACAACCGGCTCATTCATTCATTCATTCATTCAGTGGGAAACATTGGACCAGCCCTCTCCTCAGTTCTGGGTCAAAAAGAGGAAGAAACAAGATACATGACTCAGAGAGCAAACCCGGCTGTGCTGCAGGGCCAGCGGGAGGAAAGCAGAAGCACCATTGTGTGCAAGGTTCCTGTACGTACCCTTGGACCTGTGCAACGTTCAGCTCCGTTGTAACCTGCCCAGTTCTCAGAGCACACGTTTGTGGCACGGTCTCTACGCTCCTGTGTGAGCACATGCAATCTGTTCCTAAGAACAGAGAGCAAGCAAGCCGGCAAGCACATCTCCAGGGATACTGTGTCCTCATGCAGCAGACAGGACCACTGTCTCACAGAGGCCAGGCTGGCAGCAGATGCTCAGGCAGGGGCCATGCAGGTGAGCAGAGCCCCCCAAAAGCACCTGCAGGGGTCACAGCACCATGATGCCATGCACAGACTGATTTACTTTGCCTTGGGAGGAGGAATAGCACAAACCTAACACCTGATTGTCACAGCGATGCAGTTCAGGGGGACCTGATTCTTCACACCTACCCCAACTACAATACATAGCTGTTGAAACCACTGTGCATAAGGGACTGTGCAGCTACCACCGCACAAAGACACTTTTGCATTGTGCAGATGTGGACGGTTAACATGGGGCTCTGTTGTCACCATCACAACAATCTATTCCACAGCAACACAGAAATAAGATGAGTACTTCAGCCTCAATGCCTGTGTGTTGTGGTTATGGGTTTGGTTGCAGTGTATCCTGCCCTTCTCCCCTGAGGAGTGTGATCACCCCCATGCTACTTACAGTTTTCTGAATGAAAGTCAGGCACAAATTGCTCATCGCTGTCTGGAACCTGAGCTGCCAGGGGAGGGAGGGAGAGGAGAATTAGATTTGGCACTTTGTATGGTATAATTAACAGTAAAGCAGAAATAAGCCTATGCAGGAAAGATCAAGCTTTCTGCTGGGATGCACTTTAGTGACTAAGGCGAGTTTCCCTTTGGGATTAATGAATACAGTTCTTTTGCCTGCATTTTTGCCCCTTAATTCTGCCAGCTTCTTTCTCCCTTACCTTGGAAATAAGGACAACAGCAAGTTTATCAGCTCAGGGTTCACAGTTTTCATTAGAAACAAACCACACAGGGATTTTTAAGCATTTAGCATAGGAAAACCAATGACCAACTAATACATTTGCAGGAGAACATTTCAGAAGAACAAAAAGAATATCTGGTAGCAGGAAGGGGAAATGGTGAATAGTGTGTATAATGTTAATAGTGTGTGTGGTTTGCAATGGGAAATGCTGGTGTAGTCAGAGAGGACCTGACTGCAACCAGTTGTTCTTTCCCCATGTATCAGTGCAGTAAAGCTTATTCTGAGGCATCTGCCCCATGGACAGCATTGTTAGGACAAGTCCAGGAATAACAGCAAGGTCTGAGACATTTGGATGTGTCAAAGATTGTCTAACAAATACACCTGAAATTCAGCAGAGGCCTCACTGCCCTTAGAACAGCCATCCCCATTGGAATGAGATGCTGCTGAGTGCAGTGAGCAGGGAAACAGTTAACATTAGCATAGAATGGTTTGTGTTGGAAGGGACCTTAAAGCTCACCCAGTTCCAACCCCTTGCCATGTAAAGGGACACCTTTCAGTAGAGCAGGTTGCCTCAGTCCACCTCCTCAGCTGTGCTCTGTTATCCTGAGGCAGCAACTAATGTGGTAAAGACCCAAGCTTTGGGGTGTGCCTTGGGAGAACCTGTGGGGAGGACCTTAACCACAGCACGCGTTGTGTTCCAATATTTTATTACTTCTAACAATTACTTTTCCATCCCTTTTACTGCAGGGGAGAGCCCGCAGCAGGTCCGTATCTCACAAAACCTCTCACAAAGCACCACTGAAAGAAATGCTGGTACAGAACAGAGTGACCGAGAGTTTGGGATGTTGCAGCGTGCGCTCCCTCATCTCTAAAGCAAAGGTGATGTAGTCAAAGTAAAGGGACATGGACAATGGAAACCCACTAATCTCATCCACTTGAAGCTAAGCTAGACAAGACATGCCAAAAATAGACCTTAGGGAATAACACCGCCTTAACAACAGGCAGTGGATTTGAATGGCTGGAGTGAGAGCACACAGCCCCACTGCTGCATAGTGCTACTTGCAGTGCTGTAGGAGAAGGCTACAAGGCCAAGTTGCCAGGAGAAAAATATGTATTTTTATCCTATCATAGAATGACTTTGGTTGAAAAGGACCTTAAAGATGGTCTAGTTGCAACCCACAATATTCATTATGTACTTCATATAGTTGCAATACAGATGATAGACATTTTCTTGCTTTCCCCAAACCCGCATCTATGCTTATATATATATATATATATCTCTTACCTTCTTGTATTCTAAGCACATTCATGCAATAGGGTTTGCTTGAACATTTAGTGATCATGTATAGCAGCAGATTCCCTCTTTCTGTGCAGTGCTATGAGACCATGTGTGACCTTCCCTTCACCCCAGGATACTTGTGAATTCCTTCTACAAACACCCTGCTACTGACAAATGTATTGTAAGAGATTCTATGCGAATGATTTAGATTAGTGAGCTACAAATATTACCAACCTTTAGAAATCAGTTCTGAAGCAAACTGCTCAGCAGCTCCAGATTGTTGAACAGTTAAGAGAAACCAGTCTCAAGCCTGTGTGCACATTCAAGAGATCTAGGACATGAGCAGCAACTCATTTTTCAGCCCTGATGCAAGTTGGGTGAGTGTTTCAATCCTCAACAGCCTCCAGGTAATTCCTCTTGCATCCTTCCAACCCTCACAGTCCTGAACGCTGCCTGATCAGCGTCATTTCAGCTTGACATGAACATAAACCATCTGATTTGGGTCGTGTCCCCCCCCCCCCCCCCCTTAATCTTTCTTAGTTGGCAAAAACCTGTTTGGGACTTAAAAGCCCCTTTTTCACCGGTATGTGTATTTTTATAGTATTGTTGTGAAATATTTGTTAGGCACCTACATCGTAATAAGCACTTTTGTATTTAGCAAGAGTCTATGCTCGAGGATCTGGTTTAAATGTTGATTAATCAAACCGAAATCGATCATTTGTAGCACTGGAATTAAGCAAGTTCAGTGCACGGTGTAAAAACGGTTTCACTTTGCATTAATGGAACTTCCTGGGATTTGAAGTTTGCTCTTTCTTGAAGTCAAAAGGCAGAACAATTTATAGGCACCAAACTGAGCAGTGGGACAGTGCCAGGAATGTCCCTTTCAAAGAGGTCCCTTCCAACCCAAACCAGACTCTGATTTGGTGAAATTAGCACGAAATAGAACCAGTTACAAGTAGCCTGAAGCGAAAATTGTAACCAGGGAAATAGGTGGCCAGCTGCCAAGTTCCATTCACGAGCAAACACCCTGCACCATAGCGCGATTCACGCGTCCTGGTTCGCACAAGCCAGAGGTTGGCAAGCCTGGATAAAGCGCTTACAGCATGAAGCCGGGCAAACAGAGCACTGGAGCGGCAAGAGACAAGACAGAAGGGAGCGAGGGAAGCACCTACCTTCTGTCAGCCAGGTCTCCTGGAGCCTGCCCAAGTCCTGGAAGAGCTCTGCGCGGAAAGCGAGAGGTTTCCTCAGTGGAGCGCTGGGGAGGGCCGGCGGAACCAAGGGGGGGAACCCGCTCCTCGCCCGATCGGCTTCCCCTTCCCTGTCACCATCCCCTCCCGCGCCCCCCGTACCTTCCGAATCCTGCGGCGGCAGCAAGCCCGGATCCGCGGGTCTCTTCCCAACGCCCATCAGAGCTCCGCCGGGAGCCGCCTGGCCCGGAGGCTGCTGCGGGAGGAGCGGATCAGACCCGGCCGGAGGGGTCCCGCGCTTCTACCCCTGATCCCTCCCCGCTCACCTGCGGGAGCGTGAACGGCACCCGCTGGTCCAGGTACGCCTTCATCCCGCCGCCCGTGCGCCGGCTCTCGGCGGGCCGGGCTGGTCCCCGCCTGCCGCGCTCGGCCGCCGCTCGGAGGGCAGCGCTCTCGGCACGGCTCCCCCAGGCTCCCGCCGCCCGCGGCTGCCGAAACTCGGGCTCCGAGGTGGGACCGAGCTCGTCAGCTCCAGCCGGGACCGGCGGCTCCCGGTCCCGGTGCCCGTCCCTCACCGGCGGCGGCTCGCAGCCCACGCGGAGCCCGGCGTGGCCCCGCCCCCCTGGGCCGTCAGGCCGCTGCGGGGTCCGGGGGCGGCCTCCCATTGGCCCATCGCGGCGCTCGCGGCCGCGGCTCGCCCACTCCTTTGTTCCAGCGAATTCGTGAATGAAGCTCAAGGCTGGGGCACGCCAGCCAATCCCCGCTCCCGCTGGCCCTCGCCCCCGTGAACAGTGGGCGGAGTTTAGCCTTCGGGGCCAATCGGAGCGCAGCGCCCTGGTGTTCATTCAATGACGGAGCTCCCATTCATAAAAAAACCTCTCGAAGTTCATTGATGAAAGGCGCTCCAGCTATGCCTGTGGCGAGCGGCAGAGCTGTGCTTAGCCTGCCCTCCCAGACGCCCACCCAGCGTGGCACACGATCAGGCTTGCTGTTTCTCACGCACATTGCAGTCATTTCAAAGCTTCAGGTACATTCAGTTCTGTTCTGAGGAAGTTACTGAACTTCCAACAAGATCTAGAGGAAAAAACCTCACTCATTCCTCTGGACTGAAAATAATGAAAGCCCTGGCTGTCAAAATCAGTTTGATTCTCCTGGGGGACAAAAATACAAAATCAAAATCTACTCCTGGAATTTGCACAGCAGAAAAGTGGGTTTGCTTTTGTGCATACCAGTGCGTTCTGCCATTCTTTCAAATCCCTCTTTCAAGTTCCATGGTCACATTTAACATTTATTGATCCTACTTATCCTACAAAAAATATCAGAAATAGTTGGGACCCGGTGATGAGAAGGCAATAATTCATGGAATGCCATCTCCTCGAAGAGAGCTAGATACTCGAGAGAAAATGAAGGAAAAGGGAAAGTTGTCCCCAAGACTAAAAGGGGCTGTACATTTTTGACATTTTCTCTATAGCTGCCACCACCAGTGTGACAGACTGATGTTCTCGCTATGAAAGGGATGCCTGTTACTCAGAATACCACCTGTAAGGACCTAGTCCATGTGTATTTTGATCTTTCTGCTAGCAGAAAGATCTAGCTCCAGCATTCCCAGGACTCCCACTCTATCAAGAAACCCAATTGAAACATAGTCCTGACCTGTCCGTGGCAGCAAAATGAAACATCTCAGGATGTTTACATCCAGGTGCCCATTCAAGAGATCAATCACAGCTGGTATTGATGATGAGTTACGTATCAAAGGTGAAACTGATGCTGCTGATCACGAGTAAGGCCTGTCTCTGATTTATCCCTTGATGACAGAAATGGCCCTGGGGGATGAATGATGTTTTAAATTAGCTTGCCTGCCTACCTGCTCCTTTCTGTGTCCTGTGCTTTTCTCTCTTCTGGTTCCACAAAATCAGAGTGATACAAATAGTGCTGGTGAATGATTTGGAGGATGAAGAGTTTATAAACAGGGTATGAGAGAAGAGAGAAGGCTGAGATTCCTGGGAAAGCTGCTGGCTTCCTATCAGGAAATATTCAGGATGGGTAAAAGGTTAGTAAAAATTACAGGTGGCAAATTATGTGACTTGTTTGATAGTTTCTTCTCTGTTCCTCATGAGCTTGTTGTGCAAACATGTCATGTTTGTTTTCAAAGGCTGGCTAATCAGTTGTGGGGCTATGATTCTGGAGTTTCTCTTTGCAGGCTCAGCAATTAACATTCAGGGTGATTAATTGCCTTCTATTATATTTTTCCTTAAGGTATGCGAAGGGTTCAAAAGTGATACACAAACCAGGGGGGAGACGGTTCTTTCTTATGGGGTATTAGGAATAGATTTACTCCAACACTGTAATCCACGCTGCCTAAAATGTTTCTTCCCTGGGTTTACAGCTTATTTTCCTTAGTTACCAATTGAGTTCTGTGTCTAGTCTCTCTCCCCATCTTGTGTCCACCCCCAAGGTTTAACTGCTTCATCTGTTGTATTGAGTTGAGGAATCCCCCTCTGCACCAGTGATGGTTAGTGCAATATAAAGCTGCTGGTGATAGATCCTGACAGAAACAGGAACAAATGGCAAATGTCTTATAAAGTGGCAATGTGAAAGCTAAACCTCCCCCCCCAACTTCTCTGTGCTGTGGAATGAAGCATGAGCAGACCTATAGCTTTTAGAAAAGTAACAGTAAAGAAACAGCTGGATGAAGAATTTGGGTTTCTTAACATTAGACATGAATCAGCCCAGCCACTCTGTTGCACAGAAACAGAAAACGTGAGTCCTCACTTGGCAACTCGCAGACTACTCTGCAATCCCCTTCCTACTGTGTCCATCATGTAGTGTTTTGGGGTGTTGTAGCTGTTCTTGATGGGATAGTTCAGTAATGTGAATGTAGCAAAGAAAGGTTGTGCCCAAAGGAGCTCAAACCCAGCTCTGGCATAGTTAATCCATCTTCCTAGAAACAGGGTGGGGATAATTGGCAGGAGACTCGGGAGTTGTGAATTGCAGGCAGAGGTTATTAATCAAGGTTTCAAATGCATGGGATGTCTTTTTGCTGGTACACTCTTTTTCTCAAGCCTAAATGGCAAAGATTGCTTCTTTGCAGCCTCTTTCTGCAGTCTGCAAGAGGGTCTGTGGTAGCAGGAATTATGTACTTGTTATTCCAATGTCAAGGTCTCATCTCAAGCAGGGGGGTTGGACCTAGATGATCTTAAGGTCCTTTCCAAGCCTAACTGTTCTATGATTCTCTGATATGGCATGTGAGCTCCACTAGCCCATAGAACTCTGCTTAGGAGCCCTGCCATGCTTCTAATCTCAAAGTGATTTTCTATGGGGAAGATAGTCCCAGAGTGCAAGGAAGTGTCTGGGTAGGTTTCTTTGTGGCTGCCTGAGGTGTTAACACAGAGACTCTGGAGAAAGCAGTTCTCTATAAGGTCTTGTGAAGAAACTGCCCCTTTTAGGTATTCATGCCAGCTACTTTTTATAATGCTTTGAATGAGAGAAGATGGCTCCGGCACTTTGTCTGCAGGAAGGAAGCAATTAGATTATTAGCACTTTGAGAAATTAAAGTATGTAAGTTATGGCAGAATAAGTTTAGCAAAATGTTATAATGTAAGAAAACAATTAAAAAGAGTTATATAAGGATGGGTGGCTGCTTTATTGTGATAGAGTGAGCAGTTAATTGATTGTCATGCGGCTATAATGTACCAGGGCAGTTGTGGGAGCAAATAGAGAAATATCTGCTCAGGATGTATGGAGATAAAGTGCCAAGAAAGGGACTTTTAGGGAAACGGGAGTGAGCAGCAACCTCCTACCCTCGAGTCCTTTTCCCTGTGTCCTGTAAAGAGACAGGAAGTACAAAGAAATTCCCTATCATTCTCTTCAGCTTCCAAGGGCTGATGCTGCAATGTTACATTTAGCTTTCCTCATGGCAGCTGGGGGATATTAGTGTGACTGTAGGGATGATCAGAGATAAGCAGACACAACTGGAGTAAGGTGCCACATTCAACAAGTAGAGGATTTTGTCAGCAACACCTGGCCATGCAACTCACTTGCTGTACTGAAATGAAGAAGGACAAAAGCAACTGAGGTAGTAAGGAGGTGCTAGTAGTTACCAGGCACTCAATCAAGGCAGGGGAGAGGAACCCAGATTTCACTTGTAGAGGTACGGAGCCAGGGTACCAAAGCAAGACACGTAGTTGTTAGCAGGTACTAGCAACTTATCCCATTATGGTTAAAGTAACCACCAATAAAACCCAATCAATGAAATGCCTTTTAAGTTGGCTGGATCAGTGACCCAGAAAATAGCTCCCCTGCAGAAAAGGAAATGATAGTCTATAAAGTGAGAAGTCAATGGGAAAAATCTATTAAAGCGAGCGAGCTATAAGGAGACCTTCGGTGTTAACTGAAGCCTTTTGGAAAGAAGCCACAAAACTCACAGCAGCCTTTTAACCCTGCAAATGCTGCCATGCCAGAATAGGGCCATCCGTGCTGCTGCAGGCCAGGAGAGGGCACTGCAGGCAGCCCAGCGCCCACCTCCCTGTCCCCCCGTTCGCAGGGGGTGGCTGAGAGGTGGGAAGGGCTGGAGCAGGAATGCGGGAGCAGGAACAGCGGCGCGATCGGTCGGGCTTTCAGACTTAGCTGCGAAGTTCTCAGCAGGGAATTGCGGGGTCCCCGGTGGTAATGGAGAGCACTGGTCTAGTGACAGGCTCATCTGGCAGGACCTACAGCATACCTACAGTTATCACTCATCTTTTTTGTGCTGAAGAAGTCAGCCAGAACCCTGGTAACCAGCGAGGCACCCTGAGCCTAGGATGGGACAGGAGAGGAATCTGATAGGCCCAGGAAATCCATTTCTCACAGGATTCTTTGGTCCCAGAATCAGTTTCTATTGTCCAGCTTTGGACAGCATTGATTGACTGTTAAGACTAGAAGACAAAAAGCAGAATCTGTGCCTTCCTACTGCCTCTTCTCAGGAAATTGCTCTGTTATGTCAGAAACTAAACAGGGATCTGACAGTCTGGGGAATGTGAGGAAATCAGAACAAAACTTTGCAAAGCATCTTGAAGATGCAGAGCTCCTGAAAACTGAATCATTCGGGTTGTGCTGTGCATGCCATTCCAGCGAAGACTAACTGGGCTCAATTACTTGTAAATACTTTTACAAAGTGCTGCATCATCTGCCATGCCCGCTCATTACAAAAAGATGAAGAGAAACCCATCGATGGAAAATAAGCCAGGTATGGAGGAAAATCAGTTACCCAGAGGTAGCTCTCAATCAATCAATACAGACTTTATTCTTGCACATGAATCACTGTAAAGAAGCCAAGAACATCCACATGGAAGCAGAAGTATCAGCCAAAACTGTTTCCACATTTTCCATTTTAAATGTCCTGCAAACAA